GGGGGGTTCGCCTATAAAAGCCCTGGTATTGCCCCGAGTGAGCTCCATTTCCCATCATGGAGAGTCAGAGAGTCCAGTCCTCGTACAGGAAGCGTTACGGGCCTCAGGGCTCCGGCAGCACAGGAGTCAGAATTGGGAGCCTTTCTTCCAGCCGCCTCTCCTGGCATGGCACCCCCCGCAGCTTCACCCACTCCATCCCTGTGTCGCGGATCTCCTTGGGCTCAACGGGCCTGCTCCTGGGCAGTACCATGGACCGGCTGGATTTCCCAGCTGAATCCCTGATGAAGGCCCAGTACAAGGAGACGCGCACCAACGAGAAGGTGGAGATGATGGGTCTGAATGACCGTTTTGCCAGCTACATAGAGAAGGTGCGCCTGTTGGAGCAGCAGAACAAGGTGCTGGTGCAGGAGCTGAACCAGCTGAAGGTGAAGGAGCCCAGCCGCATGGGAGACATCTACCAGGAGGAGCTGAGAGAGCTTCGCAGACAGGTGGACGGACTCACTTCTGGCAAAGCTCGGCTGGAGATAGAGAAGGACAACCTGGCTGCAGATGTGACTATGCTCAAGCAGAGGTAAGATGGAACAGGGTGGGACTCCTGGGGGTGGAAGCATGTTAGTGCAATGCACAGCCTCTAAAAGGGGCTTATAAGAACGCTGACTTTTGCTTTCTCACTTGTCCTTTCTGATGATTACATTACATTTATGTTAAAGATGGCACTTGACAGCAAAGCTTAATATGTTATATGTAAACCTAGTTGTGTGAACAGTAAAACTAGACATTCAAAACTTTAAGACATATCATGTTTTTTTAACCTCTTCTATGCATCTTGTTTTATGGAAAGTGGGACTTACATTTGTCCCTAGCTGGAGTTGGACACAAAACTAATGTTGGTCAACTTGGCATTGCATTAATGGTTATGCTCTGCAAATGTTACTTGGGGAATTTTTTTAATACCCTTACAGGAAAGTCCGTTTCCATAATTTAAAACACTCTCCGAACAGTTTGTCTGTTGCACAGCTGAGATTTTTTTCTTTTTTTTAATTAGGAATGCATTTATATGCAGATTTGGATTGTCTCCGATTGGCTGTGATACAGACTGCCGTGCTCTGCTCCAGCTTTACTCCTGGATCCCTCTTTACAAACTTGATCCTGTCTGAACCCCTCGTTGCCATTTAGTGAGTGTGGAGGAATAAGGCAAACACAATGGCCGCCGTCCACAAATGAGAAGGGGCAGATGTTCTCTTGTCCCCTGTTACTGTAAAACTCTGATTCACTGCATGCGCATAGCCAGGTTTTTTGTGTTTTTAACTTAATTCTACTTGGTATGGATTTATTGTTAAAAATTGTCAGGAGAATAAACGATTTAATTTCCCTTAGGGTAAAAGAAAGTTGTACTTCGGGCTCCTCTCAACTCTCAGCAGCTACTGGTATCCTGAAAGATGTGAATAGTGATGGCCGTCGCTGTAAAGGTCAATATAGTGATTCTGCTGCTTCCCTTGAACTCTGCATGAATCACTGCAGATGTTACCAAAATATGTTACTTGGCATTTATGTTGCTATGCCTCAGGCAGATTTCAGTGTTTTGTGTGTCTGTGCTTGAGGATGTATCTGCACACATGGACCCCCTTTTGTGCGTTTGTGTTTGTCTGTAAACTCCATCCCGTGGGAAACTCCTCTGGCTGTTAGACTGGAGTTAGTGTGTAACGATGCATGAACTTCCCTTTCAGCTAAGTCTCATTGTGCTTGTGTGCTTTTGCTACAGTCCCTTACTATCAGGCATAGAGCAAAGAAGACATTTGTCATTATTTAAAAACATCCCAAATAAATATATGCTAAAATGTATGTTGTGATATAAAAATCTACTGTAAATATTGTAGGCTTTCCTGTTGAATACGAATTATTCTAAAATATGTTTAGTATGGGCTTCAATATAACAAAATGTGTAGTTTTAGATATGTATATTTAGACATTGTCCATGATCAGCTACTGTATGAAGCACTTTTATTTCACGCCTTTACTGCTTCTTTGTGACTTACCCAGGTTGCAAGATGAGATGGGTCTCCGACAGGATGCAGAAAACAATTTGAATGCCTACAGACAGGTAATTCAGTTGATATTTCTCTAAATTCATGATTTTAACAATTCATACTTTCGTTTAGTCTCACTGGCCTCCTTTATATCTCTATGTATCTCATTATTTGCATAGGATGTGGATGAAGCTTCTCTTAATCGTGTCCATTTAGAGAGGAAAGTCGATGCCATGCAGGATGAGATAAACTTCTTGAGGAAGACTCACGAGGAGGTAAAAATTGAAATTTTGCAAAATAAACTTTAGCTATTGCCAACCACAATCAAGAACCTCATTTGAACTTGAATCAATTCTTCATTACTGTTGTCTCTCTCAGGATCTGCGTGAGTTACAGGAGCAGCTCATGGCCCAGCAGGTGCATGTTGACCTTGATGTATCCAAACCAGAACTGACTGCTGCACTGAGGGACATCCGGGTCCAGTATGAAACCATGGCAACCTCCAACATGCAGGAGACCGAGGATTGGTACCGATCCAAGGTCACGAGTCTCTCATTAAGTTGGCAGTACCGAGAATTAAAGTCATTAGAGTAAAATATCCTTGTGAAAAGATACTCACAGACTTTTTGCCTTTGTACAGTTTTCTGACCTGACAGACGCAGCCAATCGAAACGCAGAAGCCCTGCGCCAGGCCAAGCAGGAGGCCAATGAATACCGGCGTCAGGTCCAAGTGCTGACCTGCGATGTTGAGGCTCTACGAGGAACAGTAAGTCCACTTGACCACAGAGAAGACAGTATTTGAGAACATAACATTAGTCTTATCCAGCTCTAGTAAGATTTAAATTATGCTGCTTCTTCAATCAAATATTTAGTAGACATTTTGGGCACATATTTTCGACAGGAAACTTTACACTTGAAATATTGTTATGATATATTTTGATGCCACATAATAACAGCTCATTCAGACAGCATCAAGACTCATTTTTGTTGTATTGGTTCTATATTATATGGAACTGAAATTAAAAGAATGAGCCCTAGTTAGAGCTTGCCTGTAAAAGTGTTCCCCTTTTTATACCATTTCCTATTTCTGAGGGGTCTTAAGGACAAACAGTAAACACAAATGTTGTAACTGCCTTAAGTCAATGACCTAAATAGTGCTATTTAAAAATAATGTTAAGTTGGATGGAGATCATAACACTGATTCAGCAGTAAGTGCCAAAATAGAAGCAGGGAGGGATTAGTGAAAACGTTGTAGTGGTAGGTATTAGATTTATAAAAGTAGACATAGCAGTTGAGGTACGTGTAGCATTAATAAAAAATAAAAATGTGTGTGGTTGAAATGTAACATAAGAGTGTGAGTTTAGTAACCTCAGTCTGATGCATCAGATGTTGGTGTTCATCTCTCCGTCTTCTCTCTCCTCTTTCAGAACGAGTCTCTGGAACGTCAACTCCGGGAGATGGACGACCGCTTCGCCATGGAGACTTCTGGTTACCAGGATAGAGTGAGCCGTCTGGAGGACGACATCCACTCGCTGAAGGACGAGATGGCCAGACACCTGCAGGAGTACCAGGACCTCCTTAACGTCAAGCTGGCCCTGGACATCGAGATCGCCACCTACAGGAAGCTGCTGGAGGGAGAGGAGAGCCGGTCAGACACAGCTTTGTTGGTTTAGCACCAGCAACATTTAAAAAAAAGATACTAAATATTATCTTTTCTTTTTCCTTCAGGATCACCATTCCAGTTAAGAGCTTTTCTAACCTGCAGTTTAGAGGTTAGTAGCACATACAGTATGACCCCCTTTTTTAATCTAGGGGATCAAGGGGTCATTGAAATCATTAGTAAAGAAGACTGTTTAAATATCCATAAGAGATTTGGTCTTTTCCCATCTCTTTCTCCCAACTTTTCCAAAAAGGCATTCACAAAAGATTTTTTATTTCTTTGGGGGCAATCAGAATAGTATATTCACTCTTACTGTGTTAAATGTGTAAACTAGAATACATGGCATCAAAGAGAGGATAACAAAAAATGTCTACACTACACTAACTGGAGTCTTTTCATCTTTTAGAAACTAACCTGGACACTAAAACCCCCGAGGCCCACGTGAAGAGAAGCATCTTGGTTCGAACCGTGGAGACTAGAGATGGGGAGGTATGAGCTTCTACAGAACATTCCACTGAAGCAAACACTGCACATTGCACCTCTCACCTTACCCTCTGGAGGGCAATGTTGAACCCTTCTGCAGGTTTTCACACTCACTCACTGTCTCACAGCACACCTGATGCCTTTTGTAGCAAAAACTCACTGGGGAGTCGTTTGTTGCCTCTATTTTTAACTCTGTTGTCTTTTATTTTCAGATCATTAAGGAATCAACAACTGAACACAAAGATCTTCCTTAAAGTTCGACTTGTCTCAATCTGGGATTATTACTTATTTGTTTTGTTTCCAAACCCCAAAGCTCCCCCATCAGTGCATCATTTCATGTTTCTCTCCTTTCTTCATCACCTGCATGCTAATCTATTCAACAACCCATGACTTAACTATTAAACTCTCCTAGACTTCCTCATTAGAATTTCTGCAAAAAAAATCTATGTTCAGCTATTATACAGCTGTTAGCAGGATGTAGGTCACTCATATTAAAATGGTATGTACCATTTTGTTCTGTTCCAGTGAAAACTCCAGGAAACCAATGGCAACCTGTTTAATTTTTTAGCACGGTTTCAGATTAGCTGCCATAGAGAAGGCATTAAAACGTAGCAATTGTCTTAAGCTAATATGTAGCATGGTCGAGGTTGACATGTTATGAGTATGTGAAATGTGGCAAGGGAAGTACCAGAGGGAGTTTGGGTTTGCAGACACCAGAATTGGATAGCGGTGGGAAATAAGAGTTGTGTGTATGTTAGAGCATCTTTTGGCAGAAGGACAGGTGAAATTGAGCTCTTTTTTTTATTTTATGCCGGGTGCTATTTTGCATTTGATTCCTTTGTTGGAGCAGCAGTCGCCTCTGCTTGTGTGTTAAAGCTTGTATAGCCAGCACAGGTGTTTCAATGAGTACATCTCACTTCGGGCTGATTACACGTGTGCTTAGACAGGAGACGAGTGGAAATGATCAAACAGCTAATGTGTTGATGTTACTTTTTCACTTTTTACAACCACAAACCTCTCTAGAGCCAAACAGTCTTCTATGGCTGCTTTTGATGGGTACATTAGTAAAAAAGACAGGAGATTAACAACAAATGTGTGGTATGACAGTCAGTGTTGTGTAGACATTAGAGCTGCGACAGTTACTCGAACAATAAGTTGCAGCCGTAGTAAACATTGACTAAATCGTAAAGACAGATCAGACAGAGACAGAGACAGCTGACAGGCAATCGAGATAAAACCACTGCAGAGTCTCTATTGATCAAAGCTATGATGTTTGCTGTGAGTTTTTGACAGAATTGATTTCAGCACCATTCAGTGGTTTTATTTAAAAGAAACAGTGTTGACTGACAGTTGCTGAATGTTTGCATCTTCTCTACAGAGGACACTGACATTGGCATCCATATTCTGTGATGTTACATACATATAAAAGGTGTCCCATCAACAGGTGCAACAAAACTCACAACAGACGAGTGTGTGAAAACCTATGCAGTCCTGAGAGGAAGTCTCATGAGCCAAAACAAACAGCTGTAAGTGTGTTTATACTTTCTCCCACCTTATGCTCTTCTGCCTTCTCCATTCATCGCAGCTGTTGCTATCCTTTGTCTCTCACACAACCTGATAAGATATTATTTGACAAAAGGATGCTTCAGAGCATAATCAAGCAAGCGTGATAGGGACAGAGCCAGGTTCGAGGTGTGGAGACACTGTTTGGATACTGACTTGTCCTCCAGCCTCCAATAAATCTCCTCCAAATTCCCAGGCCAATTTATGTTGTGTTTGACTGATAGCAGCGAGAGAGTGCTTTGGAGATGATCTCCAACAAATCCCAAAGCAGTGGAAACTGTAATGTTTGTTATAAAAGTGAGGATGCTGGGGTTAGAAGTAAAAGGAGGCTGCGAGGGAGGACGATTGATTGACTTTTCCAGCAAAAACACTGTAATCCATGCTTCCTGCCTGGTTAGAAGTCACGGCACGCTGACTGAAGCCGTGTTGCTGACAGCCGGCCTCGCCTCTAATGAGTGCTGCTACACTGAAGCTGGCTGTTGCTGTGTTCGTTGCCAAGGACACGCTGTGATCTGAGTTGTGCCTCCCACCCTCTCCCCTCCACAACTTCCACTGCTGTCACTCAACCCCTTCTCAATAACATGCAGATTTCTACTGTATTCCCTCTTTGTTTTTTAATATTGATCTTAGATGAATCCTGCATATTCTTATGGAAGAAATATCTGCAGATGGAAATATAACATTAGTATTGACCGATGCTACGTAATGTTTACTTAACAAGAATAAAACATTTTGTCTTTTAGAGTTGATGCCTCTTGTTTTGATTCTTACACTTTTTCATTCATTTTTCAAAATAGTTCATATGTTTGTAGTCTTCTTTTTTGGCTTATGGTTCAATACTGACACATACCATTCGAAAGTCCGGAATTGTTCAACCACAAAAGCTTGATCGGGTGCATTTAAGGTTTATTTTGAGAACAAAACGCTCTATAATGGCTAGTCACACTTTAAATGAGACCCAAATGAACCTTTGCAGTTGATTATTAAACACCTGAATATTTACGGAAGCTTTTTCCTGCTGTGGGTTACATTTTTCAAGGGATAGTTATAGAGGAATTTGATTTGTCGTGTCCTCATATATACTTCTTGTACTTTGATTAACTTTGTGTCACTGCTTAAAGGATAGATCCACACTTTCCCATGTTTGTTTTAAAAGAGTCACAGGTGCACATATGTTCAATGAAAAAGATTGTACTTACTGTAGCCCAAGTGATGGAGGAGACAATTCACAGACTTCAGTCTTTTCAAAAACAATTAAGAATCTTGAGAAACACATTTCTTACTGGAATAACATTATGATGTTTTTTTAACAGCCAACAGGGAGAAATTATTACAGAGAGCAAAAGCTATTTCAATGTGTGTAAGTGAGTTTAATTTGACAGACCTAGCAAATCTTGTGAACCAATTTGTTAGGTTTTATGTTTCTCCCTTTGTAAAAATATCCTTTTTACGAGCTGTCGCACACTCTTTGAATCATCTTGGGTGTCATTAACTACCTTTCCTTCACATCACATACTAAAATATCTCTCAAATTAAAATAGTTTGAACTAACTTAAAACATCCAGTATGGTGACTGCTCTGCTGTGAGTATTCAGGCAATGTAGTAGAAAAATACTGCAATACAATCAAATACAAATACATATCAGCCTGATATCAGCCAAACTAGAAATGTAGGTACAAGTTACTTCAAGGTTTTTAAAGACCCAACATGTTAGTCCAGGATTAAGCTTTCCATTGCAGGTGATTGTGGTACTTGAATAAAAACATGAAAACCTTACATTCTTTGGGATGATGTGTATTGAAGTTTAAGTCGAAGTAAAGTGTCACTGAGTGTGAAGTGCAGTATGTGTCTGTTTTGCCCAGCCCTTATCAGAGGAATGGTGGGTCTCAGGTCTGCACAGAAGTCGACCCTGAGCTGAAGGAATTTGAGGCAGATAAAGCTCTCAGGCGGTTGGGGATCTGCTCCTGACGTCTAGCTCTGAAAGAATTTCCGGTCTACAGTTATTGGGAAGGGGCAACGATGGGCATTTTCCTTCTCATTATCTTTCCACAGCGGGTGCGAGGTGACAATAGCTGTCATGCAAGCTATAGAAAACATGAATAAACACTGTCACCCAATCTCATTAGAAAATGCCAACACTTATTGTTGGAGTAAACAAGCATGGACTTCCAGGAAGTGTAGAGGCATAACCTAAATACCTTTTGCGATATTAAGATTGCCATATGGTTTGCTATCATGAATTCATTCCTTACTTCCCTAATGAGTGGCTTATTATGGGTGCAGCAATAACTTCAACATACTGGAAAGTGCATACCCCAGATTCACAGTTTGTTTAATTCAAAATTAGAAATGTTTGTAAATGTTTATCTGCGCTGAGCCGACATCAAAGATAAAGTTGAAACAATAGGTAGATTAATTGTTCAATACATAATTCATCCGAGGTTCTTTTAATAACTTAATTAATAATTATTATAATATATATAATTATAATATTAATATAATAATTAATATTTCAAGCACAAATGCCCCACATTTACTTGTTCAAGGTACTCAGATTAGATGTGCCGCTTTTATTTATTTTATGTCACAGTAAACTAAATATAGCTGTTGTAAAAGAAAAAGCTATCTGAAGATGTCACCTTAGGCTTCAGGAAATGGTGTAATGCATTTTTAAACATTTGCTGAATATTTCAAAATCCAACAAGCATAATTAAAAACTTCTGGATAATCTCTACAAATGCAAAAACACATTCAACTTTTAAGTTTAGAATATCCTGCTGACTAATAAACAAGCAAAACCTCAAAAGGGACAAAAAATAACATCTTTAGTAGATACATAAAAATTGAACTTCTATGATTGATTTTTAATTATCTAAATGAGCAGATATCAGTCGGATTCTGAACAAAGTCACACTTATTATCCAGTGTTGGAGCCAACACCCTTTGTCTTTATGGCTCTTTGTATTTCGCTGCCCTCTCTGCACAGTCCTGTCCTGGCTCTCACACTAAGGGGTCAGAAGATGGCATGTTGGCTCTGGTTAATTTTAGCCTTCATTTTATCAAGGCCATTGAGACAAAACACAGAGCAACCACCTTAACATGTGAAGCCACTCTCCCTCTGATCTCCAAACACCCTTTACAGACTGAAACCTGTCAACAAACACATAAGCTAATGATGTTTCTTTGGACAAAGTGGAGTGATGGCTTCTTAAGGTCACCAACCTTCACGCTTAAAGGGTCATGAATGGCTCAAAATGGTGTCTATCTTTTTTTGTACAAAAGTGTTTTATTTGTCTTTCAGCTTATTCAAAGTGGAAAGACAGGGAGAAAAAGAAAATGTCTGAGGCATCCATATTTTACATTAATATTTTTTTATTGATTGCTAATTGGCGTATAATTAGACGGCACAGCCACGTTTTTTGAAATCTTTCTTTTCATGTAAGCAGTTTAAGTAAAGCTTTCATGCTTTCGCCACATTGGGACAGAGATCCCACGGTACTGTGCCAAATATTGATATGATTGCAAAAGGTTCAATGGAAATACGATGCAGTCCATGTACCATAACCTTAAAATGTATAACTTGAAGTTTAGTTCATGTTAATTAATGTAGATTGCCATATGTCGTCGGAAAGTCCTTTATCTAAGTAGTATTCCTCTTGTGAGGGGTGAAAAATGTTGTGAGTTGAGAGGAGAGGGAATTTTGCAACTAATCTCTTAAAAAGCTGCATGAGCAATAATGATGGCCTCTATTTGAATCATTTCACTTATAATAGATCTCAGATATCCACTCGAATAATAATATTAAGGATTTTAGTTCAACGCTGATGCAGCTTCAGTGTAGTTCATGCTGTTAGAGACACAGTGAGAGAGACAGTGAAATGCGATAGACTGGCCTGTAAAAAACACTCAGCCAAGATGTTCAATCAAACTCTTCGGAGGGAGATATTCCCAAACAAAACCAAAAATATGTTGTGTGTGCGTGCGTGCGTGTGCATGCGTGCGTGCGTGCGTGCGTGCGTGCGTGCGTGTGCGTGAGTGTGTCAAGAAGCCACTTTAAGCCCCCCTCATATGACCTTTAGGTAAACAATTGAAACTCCTAGCCTGGATGTCTGCTGTGTCTCTGAATACAGAGCTTGAGCCTGCTATATGTCTCCTTTTTGGGTTCAGGAAGATGATTGTATTAAATTAAAATCATAATACTCGAGTCCAGGTTAAAACCTGTTGAATATTTTTAAACAGCTTTCGGAAAGATTTAAAGGGGACAGGATTACACACACACACACACACACACACACACACACACACACACACACACACACACACACACACACACACACACACACACACTCAAAATCAAAAGACTGCACACAAGGGTGGCATTTTAAAGCTTATCATCACTACAGATTGATATAATACTCCAGAAGTGTGATGGCAGCTACAGACAGAGAGGGGTTGCTGCTATTTTGAGCTCAGAGACTTGTGATGTTGAGTGAAGCAGAGTAGACTGATGGGGGTCTGCACTCTGTCAGTGTCAGATCACTGTGTCAACTAATCACAGCTAGTGTAAACATCACTTCAGGACAGGGATTTCAAAATAAAACATCCCTTCATTTAAGAAATATTAATTCATGCTCAGTCCAAACATCTCAACATATCTCCCCAAATCATAACCCCTATTCTTTGATAACCTCTAAATGTAATTATATATTTAAAAGTTCTCCCTTGCAAAAGATTTTGGGGGCATTTGAGGGCAGTTTTACAACACTGAGACAGTGCATCTTTAAATATGACCAAACATTACATATATATTTATTTTATATAATTTATGGAATGGGGGGTTGTTGCCCCATGTGTAATGCTTTAAAAAGTATAAAAGTCTCTATTTGTTGAGATTATTCTACTGAATATGTGCAAGTATCAGAATCGTTTGTTTACCAAAAAGCTTATTGTGTATTGTACTATTTGTTATTTTTCCTTAATCATACATTTAAAAGATTAGCAAAAATGGCTACTAAACTACTGGTTATCTAATTCAATCAGCTTCTGAATATGTTTTGTAAACTCAAATCCACAAATCAAAATGTACTGACTCAAAATAAATTCCTCTAGCTTGAACATATTTGTTATAGTATAATACTAGTTGTTATGGTATTCGTTTTAAATAAAAAAATGTTTTTGGTGAAAAAAGTGGAATAAATGTAACTCTATTTTGAAAGTGTGACAAAATTGACTTCCGTTTTTGACCTGGATAACAGGCTGACTCGTCGCTGCTGCCAGCCGCTCCGGAGTAGGGTGAAGGGGAGTGGATCAGGGAGTCTGGTCTGAGGGGAGCTTCTTCTCTGCCCTAAGGATCGTGCAGTGGCCAAACTTGAGAGAGAGAATGCTGAGATAATATTAACAAACTGAGATATCCCGTCTTTGTTCTCAACTTCTTCTCCCTAAACAGGTTCCGTCTTCTCCCTTGGGAAGACAACATCGTATGGGAGCTGTTGTTTTTTTTGGAGTAAGAGATGTTGAATGGGTTTTTTGCAGTATCCTAGAATACTTTTTCTTAAAGCATTTACTGCGTCTTGCATCTGCTATCATCCTGGCAACCAGACCTGCTCTCCATCCTCTTCATCCCTCACCATCAGTTGCCTCCTATCCCTGATTTTTGACGCTCCAAGTGGTTACAGGCTTTTTCTCCACAGGTGGCACTTCATTACCTGCTTTCTATTCTATTTTCTATTTTTACTTTTTTAGTAAGGTTTATGTGTCGGGGAAATATTTTCTCTCAGAACCGAAATGCCCGTGAGACGCGGCCATGTGGCGCTCCAGAACACCTACCTGGACACTATCATCAGGAAATTCGACGATCAGAGTAAGTAGGCTACACATGATGAGTTGTGAACATGTCATGCTTTCAGACTTAGGAGGAAACTCACACAGGTGCACATTGTGATTATAAAACAAATAGTTCTCAGTAGGATATTTTGTATCCATTTTAAACAATTCAGATTTAGCCATATTTTTTTGATCTGTTTGGGTTGGTGGCGGCCAGACCCAAACTGGTGTGCTTAAAAACTTCATAAAAAGAGACCTCCATTAGTCAAATTTCTTGAGAACTGCTAACCAATCCTATATATTTGAAACACATCAAAGGGCCCCAACTCTTTGTGCTAGTGGTTATAATCAGAACTTGGGGGCCAACAGTATATTGTAAACAAATATAGAGCATTTTTGCGAATGGAACTGGATTGAATGTACTTTTAAATTAAAGTCGATTGTTTAATGTGTGCAAAACTTCTTCTTTATATGGTGCCAAATATCTTCTCTTTTTTTTTGACTGCGGTTGCCTGAACAGATGGGAGACGGGTTGGCTTTTAATTAATGTTACATAAATCAGCTTTGTGTCAGGGCCATTAACAGCCCTCTCCCCACTGTTTGAGGTGTTATTGCACCTGAATGTGTTTGTGTGTAATGTAATTAGCTCAAATGTTCCACTGAATGCAAAGAGAGACCACCGCTCACTCAGGAAGAAAAAATTCAGATGTTGGATTGGTCATTTACATTTCTTTAGTTTTTATATTGTTTGTTTATGTTACAAGTATTTCCAATTAAGCATAAAAGTCAGCCCAATTTACGCTTTGTTTTCTCACACATTTACCCCTTAACAACCTCATATTGAAAAATAACAATGTTGTGGATTTAGGGCTGAAAATAACCTTGACATCCTGAGCAGATTCTGACCCAAAATGGAGATGTCGTTTTTTTTGCTCTCAATCAGTTTTAGTCTGATAACATCTGGGGCCAAGAATGCTAGATTATGTAAAGCTTCTTTAAAGAACTCCACTATGTAATGCCACTACTGTATTTTCCAAAGTGTGTATATGTGCACCCGCAGTCACGTGCACGTGCACGGCCAGGTGAGGGCACATGCCACAGCAGTGCTGCTTAGCAACCTTGTGACGATCAGCGTTTCCGTTCTGAGCCAGATATAATGACTTTGGACAGGATGAGATTTCAACCAGCGGAGCTCACCCATTTACTCTAAACAGAGGGACTGAGGGAAGAGTCCCCTCCACGCATTTGTTTGTCATCGGTTTCAACCATTTCCACCACACAATATTAAAAGGGTCAGTCAGTGGAGAGGCAAGTACTTTTAAAACAGCTCATTACACTACTCCATTAGCAAGCTTCGAACAAAACTGTCCTACTTTACTTTCATGGTGGACAATGTTTTGGCATGCTTTTGCAGCTGAAACATATATTACAATCATCAATAACAGGAACTGGATAGTATATTAGCTTGGAATTACTATTAAGGATTTTTTCTGAATGCAGAGTAGAATACTCAAAGGTTTGACATTGCAGGAAAAAACATTTCTTTGGTCCAGTTTCCAGCAGTAGTAGTTTTGATGCTTTACTTAAGTCAAAGTAACGATATTTCAATGGAAAATATTCCACTTGTAAAAGTACAGAAATAATTTGACCTCAATCAAAAAATCAAAGTTCTGGCGACAAATCTCTCTAATTCTTCTTTATTATATAATAACTGCTTCTTTGGTGCAATTCTTCTAAGAATGAGCTGTGCGGGCATTTAAATTGATAAATAACAATAATCTCATGAAATGATATTCCTAGATAGAAGCAACAGTCGGGGCCTTTGAAAGAAAATAGAAACAGTTCCAGTCAAATGTCAGATAACATTTTGCAACAACTTGTTAATTCCCTCAAGTTGCGTGAGAGCAGGGAAAGTATGGGATTTGAGTGACAGCCCAGTCCTCCAGCGATTGTACAGTGCAGCTGTAGTGCGATAGCTGAGCATGGATAGAACACCCCCAGAAGAACCAGCATTTCAATTATTAAAATACTACAAGTGAAAATATATGTAAGTATTGATCATTTGTGTTTGTGCTGTACTATATTACGGTCTGTTTCTTTATTGTGTTAAGTGAGAAGTAAAGAATAGTTGTGCTATGAAAGTTAGATTTTGCTACCTTTAGATCCATAACAAAGCAAGCTAAGTAGCCTAACAGCAGGGACAGTTAGCTACATAGCTAGCAGTGAGTGAGCGTTCAGACACCGGCGCACACACTCAAACGGACTTGTGTGCCTGACTCTACCAACAGGCTTTCATGATTCTGTTTAGATATGCAAGTATAAGCCATCATAGCTTATTTTATTAACACGCTAATTTGATATGAAAATCAATGCAAGGCTGAGTTTACTTCTATTCTTTGTAGGAAAACCTACCATCCATGACTGCCACTGAGCTGAGTTTTATTTCCTAAAACATTTATTTCCTTCTCATATTAACAGTGTGGATCATTGAGACAGCGTGGTGTCCAGTGGTCTTATCCCTGTTTTCCCACTTCCTCTGAGGGGACAGCATCAGATCCACGGAGATCCACGGAGGGGGGGCATGAAGAAAGACCTGCACCATCTTCATCCACGCTGGGCGTTGCTGTTATCACTTGCTCAGTGTCATTTCATTTGACCAAATGTCTTTACATATACATTTAGTAGATTTTATTATTATCCACCTTTGCTTGACTCAGTTTTTTTTTCTCTTAAACCCTTAGTTTTGCTTGATTCTGAGAAAGTGTTGCTTTATCTTTATGAAAAAAAACTAATCCCGTAGAAGACCCACAAATAAAAGTGCCAACATCTTCTCCTCAGTCTATCGGGGGGAAATATGACATTAGCACCATGGAGTGGTAGACTTTAATCAGATCCACTTAAGCTGATTGTCAGAGGAGACCATGCAGGACATTTTGAAGCGTGTTTGATTAAATCAAACAGTGTAAGTGCAATTGTATTGTGAACATCCTTAGGATTGATTTATTATAAATGTAATGTTAAAGAAAAGCAGTACCTTTTTTACATATTCAGAAAATAGATAAAGACCAGTATCTGAATTTGTCATCATCATTTTATTATTTCTTACTATATGAAATATTATTATTACATAATACAGTGGGGCAAAAAAGTATTTAGTCAGCCACCAATTGTGCAAGTTCTCCCACTTAAAAAGATGAGAGAGGCCTGTAATTTTCATCCTGTATACCTCAACTATGAGAGATAAAATGAGAAAAAAAAATCCAGAAAATCACATTGTCTGATTTTTAAAGAATTTATTTGCAAATTATGGTGGAAAATAAGTATTTGGTCACCTACAAACAAACAAGATTTCTGGCTCTCACAGGCCTGTAACTTCTTCTTTAAGAGCCTCCTCTGTCCTCCACTTATTAACTGTATTAATGGCACCTGTTTTAACTCGTTATCAGTATAAAAGACACCTGTCCACAACCTCAAACAGTCACACTCCAAACTCCACTATGGCCAAGACCAAAGAGCTGTCAAAGGACACCAGAAACAAAATTGTAGACCTGCACCAGGCTGGGAAGACTGAATCTGCAATAGGTAAGCAGCTTGGTGTGAAGAAATCAACTGTGGGAGCAATTATTAGAAAATGGAAGACATACAAGACCACTGATAATCTCCCTCGATCTGGGGCTCCACGCAAGATCTCACCCCGTGGGGTCAAAATGATCACAAGAACGGTGAGCAAAAATTCCAGAACCACACGGGGGGAACTAGTCAATGACCTGCAGAGAGCTGGGACCAAAGTAACAAAGGCTACCATCAGTAACACACTACGCTGCCAGGGACTCAAATCCTGCAGTGCCAGACGTGTCCCCCTGCTTAAGCCAGTACATGTCCAGGCCCGTCTGAAGTTTGCTAGAGAGCATTTAGATGATCCAGAAGAGGATTGGGAGAATGTCATATGGTCAGATGAAACCAAAATAGAACTTTTTGGTAAAAACTCAACTAGACGTGTTTGGAGGAGAAAGAATGCTGAGTTGCATCCAAAGAACACCATACCTACTGTGAAACATGGGGGTGGAAACATCATGCTTTGGGGCTGTTTTCTGCAAAGGGACCAGGACGACTGATCCGTGTAAAGGAAAGAATGAATGGGGCCATGTATCGTGAGATTTTGAGTGACAACCTCCTTCCATCAGCAAGGGCATTGAAGATGAAACGTGGCTGGGTCTTTCAGCATGACAATGATCCCAAACACACTGCCCGGGCAACGAAGGACTGGCTTCGTAATAAGCATTTCAAGGTCCTGGAGTGGCCTAGCCAGTCTCCAGATCTCAACCCCATAGAAAATCTTTGGAGGGAGTTGAAAGTCTGTGTTGCCCAGCGACAGCCCTAAAACATCACTGCTCTAGAGGAGATCTGCATGGAGGAATGGGCCAAAATACCAGCAACAGAGTGTGAAAACCTTGTGAAGATTTACAGAAAACGTTTGACCTCTGTCATTGCCAACAAAGGG